GATCATCGCTGGTACGTCTGCGGGAGTCGAGGGTGTCGCGTGCGTCATGGTTGCGGCCGAGACGCTCATGCACCGGGACCGTGGTGCGCTGCCTGCCACCTTGTGGCGCCTGGTGGACGGATGCGTCCTTGTCGGGTTGCCCTAAGGGCGTGCGCTGGCTGACGTCGAACTCACATCACTGAGACGGCGAGCTCTCGTCCTGCTGCGCCGCCGCCCACTCGAGCAGCGTGCTAATCTCACGGTGGGCCCGATGATCCTCAGGCATCGTAGGGCCTCGAAAGCCCACGGAGCAAGGCCGCCGCAGCAGCAACGTTCTGGCACACGGGAGAAGTGTGGGAGGGCTTCATCGTCCGCCATGATCCTCCGATTCACATCGTGGACCATGGCACGCGCGCGCCCACCGTCTCCATGGCGCTCGATCTCCTAATCAAGCTTTGTGTGTTCCTGCTCAAGCTGGAGTCGTGCTTCCTCGAGCTCTAGGTGCTGGGCCTTCAGCTGCTCCACCTGCAGGTGGGGTGGGGCCCTTGTCTTCTCCTCGACCTCATCGTCGAGGTCATTTGTTGGGGTAGCCTCCTCTTCATGGATGCTTTCGACATGTCCCTTGGGGGTACCTGCCATGAAACACTCACGAGAGGGGTGATGACTCCCCCTGCTGGAGTCAGAGCCATAGGGTGACTCCGATTCTCCTGCCAGGAGGTCGTGGAAAGATTCTGCGACATATTTGGTCATCCCCATGAACCCATCGTTCATGGGGGATGAAGGCGTGCGTTGCGCCACAGGGTGGTTGTCGGTCTCTGTGGCATTGTGGAGACCAAACGGGAGCGCTGTCGGGGCGCTCTAGATGAGGTATTCCGGAGGAAGTGGCTCCCCTCCGGCAAGCTACGCCATGACATTGGCGAACGAGAAGGTGAGGTGGCGCAGGTCCTCCCCGAACGGCCGAGGTCCCAAGAAGGGCCGAGCTGGCGCTCTAACCTCCTCGTAGTCGAAGTCGAGGAGCTTGTTGCTTTCGAGGGCATGGGCCTCCAATGCGTGTAGCCATAGCTCCTCAAGCCCCTTGGTGATTGCATCGAGGCCGGTAGAGTGGAGAGGTCGGATGGCGGCGGGAGCCATTGCCAACTCTCCCTCCGCTGTGACGATGAAGTCTTGGTCCCCAAAGCGCACGTGCGCGCCCGAGACCCAACTGAGGTTGTGACTAGCCATCCGAGGCTCGGTGTGGATGTCGAGACGCGCAAAAGGCCCCTACCTGGCGTGGCAACTATCGGTGTTTCGAGTTGCCACCAACAAGTAAATTTCTAATATTACGCGTCTGGCCCGGATGGTGTGCTAAGAGGACACGAGGTTTATACTGGTTCGGGCAGAATGTCCTACGTCCAGTTTGTTGCTGCTGCTCGCGTTACTAGCACTGAAAGTTCATAGTAGGGGTTACAAACGATCGAGAGAGGGACTAGTTCCAAGTCTCTGGTGGTGTGTTGTGGTGAGCTCTGATTCGAGTCTGGTCGAGTCGAGTCGAGTTCGGATGTGTTCGATTCGGGTCCCCTTATAGTGGAGGGAAAAAGAGGAGAATGAGAAGGAGAAGAAGTTCTCCAGGATCATCGGGTCCTTCTTTTCCTTCACGCGGGCCTCGCCGACCCTGTAGACGTCAATAGGGATAGCTCCACATCATGGCCCTATCCATCACTAGCGCCATGTGGCGGCGTCGTCTGTCGATCATGGCGCCTCACTCCGTCCTAGCGGTCGTCGTGGTGAACTGATGTGCCCGTCAATGTTCGTATGGGGTTAGGCAGAACAGCACCGGTGCGCTCGACGCTGTTCCTAACATGAACCCCCAGGTATGGCCCATCGTGGGTCACGGGCTACATCAAGGCGTGCCAGTCTCTTTCCTGGTGTCAGAGCTTTGACCCAGGCCCATGCGCTTGGACCTAGAGTGGTTGGCGGTGGTATGGGACTCCGTCGGGCGAGACAGAGCCTCCGGCGTCGGGGTCGGGTGAGGCAGAGTTCCTTCCCAGAGGCCGGGCGAGGCAGAGCGCAAACCCAAGGATCGAGCGAAGCAGAACCAGTCCTTAGAGGTCGGGCAAGGTGGAGCCCGCGGCCTTGGTGTCGGGCGAGGTGGAGCCCCCCCAGAGGTCGGGCAAGGCAGAGCCCACGGCCTTGGTGTCGAGTGAGGCGGAGCCCGCCCCCAGAGGTCGGGTGAGGAGGAGCCCGTGGCCTCGGTGTCGGGCGAGGTGGAGCCCACGGCCTCGGTGTTGGGCGAGGCGGAGCCCGCCCCCAGAGGTTGGGAGAGGTGGAGCCCGTAGCCTCGGCGTCGGGCGAGGTGGAGCCTGTCGCCAGAGGTTGGGCGAGACGAAGTCCGCCCTTAGGGGTCGGGCGAGGCGGAACTCGTGGCCTCGGTGTTGGGCGAGGCGGAGCTCACCCCATAGGTCGGTCGAGGCGGAGTCCGCGGCCTCGGTGTCGGGCGAGGCAGAGTCCGCGGCGAGAGCCACCCTCAGGGGTCGAGCGAGGCGGAGCTCGCAGCCTCGGTGTCGGGCAAGGCGGAGCCCTGCCCTCAGAGGTCGGGGAGGCGGCGCCAGCCCTCAGAGGTCGGGCGAGGTGGAGCTTGCGTACCTGGGGGTCGGCAAGAGCTGTAGTCGCGCTCTTGACCGCTGGGATGAATCAACGTCGAAGGTTATTAGCTTCTTCTCTTCGGATACCCTAGTATTGGTCCCCGACATGAAGTATATATCTAAGTGCATAACAACAGCTACGTATGTAGAAAAGTTAAAAAACACTTATAATTTGGAATGAGAGAATACTTGTCTATGCGTTAATAATCAAAAGATCTATTTTTTTTACTCATTTCTGTTTCTTGTATATTATTACTCACTATTTTACACTTCAAAAAATACTGTTCCCCACTCATTTCGATTTCTTGTATATTATTACTCGATTAGTTATATAAAATTTGTGATTGTCTACTCCGCGTCTGGGTGGAAATTCTCTCACACACACCTGTTTTTTTCTTCTTTCTATCTTAATACTCTCTCCGTCCTCTGAATAAATAGATTCCTATAGTTGTCTTAAGTCAAACTTTTAATTTTTAATCAATTTCTAGAAAAAAAATGTTAAGATTTATGGTATCAAATTATTATCATCAGATTTACTATAGAATATATTGTCATAATATGCTAATTTTATATCATATATGTTGTTACTCTTTTTTGTAAAGTTAGTCAAAGTTAAAAAAGTTTGATTGCACGGATTTTAGGAATTAATTTATTAGGGGACGAGAGGAGGAGTAGCATGCATGAAATTGCTTTCAAAATCACAGCTGACCAGGATAATAGGGTAATTTAAATGGTTTTAGAGTTCATAGACATAGTTTATCTGATTTAAAGTTGGAGAAGAAAATCTGGACTCCCGCAATAGGTCGTGAAGACAAGCAAAATACGATATTTTCTTTTCGAATCGAATTCCAGGTCTTTTGAATCAGACCGTTTGGTCCATAGGCCGGCCCAAGGAAGGGGTTGTTTGGTTGTCCTTCCAAATTTTAGTCGATGTCCTATCAAATGTTTAATATATATATGAAGTATTAAATATAGATTAATTATAAAACTAAGTGCATAGTTTATAATTAATTTAGGAGACGAATCTTTTAAGTCTAATTAGTCTACGATTTGACAATGTTTTGCTACAGTAAACATATGCTAATGACAAATTAATTAGGCTTAAAAAATCATCTCGTGAAGTACTGATAAATTATATAATTTATTTTTTTATTAGTATCTAAATACCTCATACAACATCCCGACGTACATCCTAAATTTTAGTCCAGACCCCTAACTCTAGGCCAAGGCCCGCAGCCACGTGGCCGACGTTTTTGGGCCTTGGGAAGGCGGCGTATGCCGGCCAGAGGTTGTTGAGCGGACGGACCCCAGCCTCCAGCGGAACCCAATCTAGCAATCCTTCGCCTCCTCGCTCGGTGCCTCGGTTCCTGCCTCCCTGGCCTCCCCGTCCGCGCTCCGCCTCCGTCTCCGCTTCCCCAATCTGCCGACGCCACGGTGGGTCTCCAGGTAACCACAACACTGACGCCTCTCTCTGGTGTGGATAGCTTCTTGGCTCTAGGCGCCTCCCTGTTTTGTTTGATAGGGTTTTAGTGTGCCTATTAGGTGCGGGATTAGGATGGGTGAGTGGAGCATTTTCATTTTTCATGAGTTTGTAATTTGGATTGCTCGGGCGATGAAAGGGTTGATGCGGGCGGCAGGCCTTTCGTATGAAGTTCACACTTCACTCGGCATAGCAAATAACTATTCGTTCATTCGTTGGATACTTGGTTGGATGGTACTGTACTGTTGTTCTCTGATTGGGGTTTGCATGCTGAAATGGAGAAATAGGGGCTGCGAAATGTCCCAAATCTATGACACAATTTGGAGCACGTGTAATGGAATTTAATGTTAGGAGTTAGGAGTTAGGACTACTCACTAGTTGATGTACTGCGTTTATCCAGCTTTCAAGATAAGTATCAACTTAACTGGTCAGGATCTGCTAAAGTTTCACTTTGTTGGTGTTATCAGATTAAACATGACCTCCACCATTTAATCTTCATTTCACTTGCCATCTGACTCCTTAATAGGAAAAAAAATATTACAACGTTCTTCCAGATGTTCTTTCAGTCTTTCACAGCATCCATGCAGAACTCAAGTTCTGAAATGGAAACGTATGAGCAAAATCATGTCCTCGCGTTTAGAAGATCAGATCGTGTTGCTTTCTTAAGGAAAATTTGTGACTTCTGGAGTTCTGGTGAATAATTTTGATCTGCGACTACTGACTACTACTGGTGACTAAAAACTGATATGCCATAGAATGGAAGCTATGTCGTTTTGCTTTATATTGTTTGAGTTGATACTGATTTTACTTTTATACTCTTATCTCAGATTTCTGTGTGCTTGTACTTACATCTCTGTTTCAGTTGTACTGTGTTAGGCCTTTGGCTCTAAGCTATTCTGGGATTCAAGAAGTACGGAAACATGAGCTACTTCCAAGCTACAATACACAAGCCTCATAGTACGCTCACTGCGCACAAGCCAGTAGCTGGTCTTGGAAGGGCCCGTGAGCTACTTCATCAACATTCTCTATGCCCACATTCAACCAGATCCTTCAAGCTGCAGGAGCAAGTTTATCCAAGACTTTTTCTAGTTTCTGCTTGCCATAAAAGGCTTGGTCCTGTATATGCTTCGAGTGGGAAAGAGAACCCTAAGATTATCAATGATGTAAGCAGTTTTGTTGCTTTCCCCTGGATTTCTTTCTTTCTCCCATTTTAAGCTATTTTCATGCAGTAACTGTTTCTTTTACCTAATGCGGATCATACTTCCCACTTGTTATGTTATCGTAAGAATGATGTTGTAAAACTTGTAATGCTTGTTGGTATTGACAAAAGGGACATGCTTATCACCTTATTTTTTATCTTCTTGCTATGGCATCTGAATTCTTGGAGAGCATTGTATTGGGAACTTGTTTATTTCTGTATTGCTTAGCAATTTGAAAAGTTTGATCTGATCTGGTATTCTGTTTGAATATTTTGGTAGATGTTGAACTAAGGTACTCTGTTAAAGTATTTTGGTTGGTACTCTATGTGTTATACTAAATTTAGAATAACGTAGAGTGATATAACTCTATTTAGTTGGACTTCATGCGCATGACAATTTTGTGATATAATTCAAGCATTGTAGCACGTCCAAAAGCTTTTTCTATAACAATGTGCTAATTTTTATTGCCTTTTTCCAGCCCTTCTCGATGGAATCTTTGAACAAAGCTATGGTAGAAGCAAAAAGGCCAAGGTCAATTCAAGATATGCTGATGGATCAAATGGCTAAGATTCGAGGATTAGGATCTGGTGGAAATGGAGGAAACAAAAACCGTTATGGACGTGGTGGTGGTGGTTCTGATGGCCCAGAGGACGAGTCTTTTAAGCAATCATTATATGAGATGCTCCAGATTTTGATAGCAACTGTTGCGTTCATACTTTTGGTAAGGTCATCACTTCATGTTTTACCAGTTTGTAGCATTATGCTATATTTTTAGATGAAGTTTTGTTAGCCCGCCAATTTCAAACCATCATTAGCTTTTATTCATGGGGATGGTACAATTGCATCATAATACTGTATTTTCACTATCTTGAAATACCATTTTTCTACTCACGCTATTAGTTAAATAAGGAAAAACAAGTAAGGATTGCTGGAGCAGAGAATATTCAAATGAACCTTGATGAGCTTAATGAGATACGCATAAACAGTATACTTTAATCTTTTGCAACTATCCATGTGGTTTTACTTTTGTCAAAGAAACACACGTATCATGTATATTTGGATTGGTCAATGTGAACCGACTTACAGGGAACACGATAATACTTTAGCAGTACGTTAACAGGTATGCAGAACTGGATTTCACAAATTAACATCAGTACATGGAAACTATTTTTGCCCCGTTCGCTTGGCTGAATTTGGCTGAAAAACACTGTTCCGACTGAATTGTTGTGAAAAAAAAAACACTATTCTGGCTGAAAAAAGAAGCCGAATAAGCCGGCTTTTAAGGTAAGCCGAACGGGGCTTGCTTTCTAAATCACTCTTTTTGTGGCCTTTGTTATGCAGTATATCCACATAATAAGAGGGGAGGAGTTATACCGCCTTGCTAGGGACTACACCAGATATATGGTTACTGGGAAGAGAACAGCTCGACTGAAACGTGCAATGCTAAACTGGCGCGATTTTTCTGAGAGCATCACCAAGAAGGATAGTGCACAAGAAGACTACTATGGAAGATCAACTTCTTCCGAGTCCACGTGGTGGCAACAGCCCCAACAGCTCGTTCGTCGTATGGAGGAGCTCTGCAGAGGCTATTTGCGCCCGCACGCGCAGGAATCGTAGTTCGGAGGGTCGTACTGTTTTGTCGGCCTCTGAGTTTTCCCGTTGTGGTGATGTAGATGAGCTTGCTGCTCAAGTGATCTGCTGGCGTTGGTCGTCCTCGCCTGGTGCTGTGAACGGAGTACTTACGTGTGGTCTGTGTTCGCTACAGAACAGAAAAGATGGGAGAGTTTCTGTTTGATTTCTGTCACTTATCAAGACCCGGCTGCTGTACCTGTGATGGTCTGTCGGTCAATGAGATGCCGGTGGCAACTTGAATGCTACGTCTGACGGATCATAACTACATATAGAACGTATGAGTACCAAAAGAGCCTGTTTGCAATAGCGGAGTCTTCTTTTCCCCGCCGCTCCACCTGGAAACGTTCATTCCTTGTCATGGCCGTGTGATTGCAGATTGCGTTACGAACTTTCTGATTCTGATGGAGAAATTTGACCACCTGTATGTGTGTTTTGGCTGCACTCTTGATTTTCCGACGTCATGAACGTTGAATGATAGGTTTGACTGGAGCCAGTATTTGATTGATTATACGCTTCAGCAGTCAGCACCCGTGATGAACTTGGCCGTTTCTGGTGTCTTGATTAGGAAGCAACGCATGATTAACCCAGCGCCATAACAAATTCGAGATGGAACGGAACAAACTGTCCTCGTCTTCTATATGATCGTCCAAGTACGAATCCAGATATCCAATCAAACAGGTCATAAACAACAGGGTCGTGGTTGGTTACTCCCTAATGATGAAACCGCGATTTGCGGAGTAGCGCGGCCGAAAGCCAGGTGCCACCGCATGAGGACGTACGTGCCGTGTCGACCGCCGCAGGGGCGAATTAGCAAGCTAAGCACATGCCATCACCCAAAACGAGTTAAGCAAAGCACCCCATCTGGGTAGACACGTAGGCTTTGCGACTCGAAGCGGACGTGCCCCCCGGCCACTTGCACGAGCGGCACCCTGAACTGCCGGGGGGCTAGCAGGAGCGATTGCTTCCCCGCGGAAGCGCAAAGGCTGAACCGCGACACGATTCGCGGCACAGACGCAGGAATCAGCCAGTGGAGACCGTACTCCCGTTTCACTTCCTTTGTCTCCATTAAAAAAAAAACAGTCTTTTCTGTTGCAGACTTGGGCTCTAATGATTTTCAGATGTTTCGCTCATGCAAGTGGCTCAGTTAGCTAGGTTACTTGTGCTCGAACTTGCTTATCTGAGTTTAAATTCTTGACTTGACAGGGGTGTTTGTATTTTTCTTCTATTTATTCCAAAGTTTAACAACCCTATTCTTTTAGTGATAAACAATGTAATCGCCGGCAGTGACGCATCCATAGGGATTTCATTAATCTTGAGAAGTTTAGATTACCGGTCAAACTCAGTTATTCGGAGGTGTTGTGTAGAATACATGTATGTGCATTTATAAGGGTGAGTATACGCTTGTGTATATAAGTGTTTGCGTATATGACGGGCCTCAGAAAAAAAAAAGATAATATATAAAAGCGGGTAGCTAGCTTTTCATTTTTACATTTAGAGCTTCTCTACTTGAAAATATTTTTAAATAGTTTTATTTGTTTGTTTCATTTAGTTCCCCTCCTTCCATGTCCACTAATTCCATTATTCATCTCATTTTTCTTTTTATTATCACTCATTTTTTTCGTGGTTGTGCAATCTCTGCTAAGGCCAAACTAATGAGATATTGTTCATTGTGTCGCTAACGAATGAAAAACCTGAACAATGGACACCACAAATAGGTATATTTTTGTGGGCTATCCTCAGTTCAAAAAAATGTAATTCTTGTTTTTCAATGAGTCAAACTATATTAAATTTAACTAAATTTATAAAAGAAGTACAAGCATTTTTAATACTAAAAATAAATATCAATCATGGAATATATTTCTATAGTACACCTATTTGAAGTTATAAATATTAATACATTTTTATAAAGTTATTAATCAACATAAGGAAGTTTGATTCCATCTTTTTGTAGACAGAGTTAGTAGATAGATAAGAATTTATTGCTCATAATTGTAACATATTTCCCGCTCTTTTTTTTAAAAAAAAGGATGTACTCTCTTTGTCCCCTTGTGAAGGAAGCTTTGGAGAGTAATACTTATAGGTTGTCAACAATGGGAGCTGCTATGAGAAGATTTCAATTTATGTAATATAAAAAATATGTGTCGTTGTGAATGTAATAGGGTAGCACATGCTCTAGCTGCTATCGGGTGTAAGTTTCCTAATGATTGTAAAATTACTTGGGAGGAGGTACCTCACGAGGTTGAGGTCTTGGTGACCGGCGATTTAGCCGGGACCAATGAGTAATAAAAAGTCTGCAAGTCTCCAAAAAAAATCAATTTCTATAGTTGCTTTAAGTTAAATTTTTTAAGTTTCACCGAGTTTATCGAAAGGAGCGTCAAGATTTATGCAAATAAATTAGTATCATTAGATATATTATGAAAATATTTTTATCATAAATTAGTAGTCATTTGGTGTCGTGAATATTTATATTATTTTCTATAAATTTAATTAAATCTAAAAAGTATAATTTAAAACAAGTTCAGAAATTGATTTGGTGAGAGATTACATAAGAAACGAGCAAACAAGCATACGGCTGTTCGTCTCTGAACTTTACCTACTCAGCTGCTTCTACGATTTGTTTATAGCGGTGCTAGAAACGGTCTGACATATGTTCAGCTCAGAGGACCAGTTCATCTAAAGACCGCCGCCGGATAATCGGCCCGGGCCCATGCCCTATCGATTTTGTTATCGCCCACACGCATACACGACCAGCGCAAGTAGCGTAGGTCTAAAAGAGAGTTTACTGCGACATGATACGATACGATGCCAAGTTGCCAACCCGTCGTAATGGAAACTGGTCTAGCACAGCGCAAACTGGGGTGAAGTAAAGATGGACGAGTCGATGCAGCGGCGCAGCAGATAAAAATCCCTTTCAGGTCGCGACTGCGACTCGCGAGAGGCGGTGGAAGCGCGTGGACCCCGTCCGTCCGCCAGCCGTCGCCGTCGTCGTGGAGGCGCGCCAGCCGTGGCGCGGACCGGGACAGACGGGACAGCGACCGACGACCGGGGCCGCGCGCAGCCCGTCCCGTCCCTTGAAATCCCCTGCCTGCAACCAACTCTGCATGCAGCAGCAGCGAGCCGAGCGCGTGCCCGGTCGGGCGCGGCACCCTCCTCTGGCTCTCTGCCTGTCAACTAGTGCATCCGTGCAGGCAGTCAGTGATGCCGTGAAAGGCGAGGGGCACGTCACGATCGGGGTCACTGTTGGATCATGTGAGGTGAAGCGGAGCCGCCGCAGAAAGAGACGAGATGAGATGGGATGAGATCTGCGGTGCTGAAACACGGATTACTCGAAGACATGGCGGACCAGGGGCACGCACGATAGTCAAGATTGACTCGGACCCGGAAAAGCGAAAGGTCGATACGTGTACTGTCGGAGCATGCATGCAACGCAACGGATCCCGTCAAGACAAGCGGCTCGTACGTACGTACGTAACCCGGTTATTAACTGAGCAGTCTAGAAGTTCGTACTCGATCAAATGGGAAAGAAAAAGGCTGACCCAATCGTCGATACGACCGACTCATGTGCGCCAAACAGATGTTCCAGCGTACAACATCACATAGTACACAACAAAAATAAGTAGCGTGAGAATAAAACTACTTATTCCGAGTTTTGATACTGTGCTCTGCCTCACTGGGAAATGGAATCAGAACCTAAAAAGCACACGCTGAAAAAACTCGGAACGAAGGGAAACGTGTGCTCTGGAACTTCCGGAATCAGAACCCTGCGCACGCATGACGCATACCTCGGTGCCGCAGCCTGTCCACAGACCACGGTCCACGCCCCGCCCTATGCTCGGTATCGCCCTGTCCACAGACCACGGGACAGGGTCCGTGTTCCCGCCCGCCGCGGAAAAGTCGCCTTCTTCCCGTGCCGGAGCATGAACGCACAGGGCACCGGCACACTTTTCACTTGGCGCGGAGCGGCACTGCACGAACGCCACACGCGACGCCAGGCCGAGATCGGTCGGCAGCAGCAACGGCAAGCGCGCGCGCGGCCGGAACTCAAGTAGTACGTACTACTGGAGTACTCCAGGAGTAATAAAACCCTCTCGGGTTGTCGCCGTCCGGCTCCGGCCCCGCCTCCTCTCTCGCTCGCTGCCCTGCCGCTGTGGGCTGCGCATATGGCGTCACCTCCTGTCCTTGTCTCGCCGCCCCCTCTCTCCACCCTCTGGATATTAGCCGTCACCGAGGCCGATGCACGCGACCGAAAAAACAAAAAAGGGAAACGGAAAAAGGAGCCGCGGAAAAGCCATGAAAAGCGGACGGAAGTGCTGGGCGCACATCGGATACACATACTCCAGTCCACACGCGAGGTGAGTGAGTGTTGCCACAGATCGACATCGACATGCCATGCCTGGCACTCCTCCTCCTCCTCCTCCCCACGCTCGTCTCGTTCTCGTCCTTGCCAAAGTTGTCATGCCTGAACCGGTACAAGCTGGTGTGCACTGCATCTCCTTTTCCCTTGTCCCTTTGCACCTGTAGCCCATCCGGGAGGTGCACCTAACGATTTCGTGATAAGGAACCCCATTTGTTTGTTTTCCGTCGTTAGCGCAGATAGAGTAGTCGGGATATAGTTTACTTTCCTTACAAAAATACGTACTACTCTGCTCGAGAAAATCTATCTATCCATCTGCAGGCCGCAGCACACCACCCCCACCCAGGTAGCAATAGCAACTCTTCTCCTCTGTCCTCTCTATATAAACACGTTCAGGGCCGGACTCCCTCTCCCCTGATCCCCAGATGTCCCCGGGCCGGCCCCTCTGCACCCGTCCGTCCTTAAACCCTGCGTAAGCCTCGTCCTCCTTCCCCAACACAGGCTCTTCTCCTTCGGCAGGTGGTTGCCTCCCAGCAGCCTCTTCGTTCTCCTCTGTGTGTGTGGCGCGGCCGCGCGGGTCCGGCCGGGGGAAAGGGAAGGCGGTTGCACGCCGGGAAGGCGGAGAGAAGAAGCGCACGCCCCGCTCTGCCGCTGGTTCGGTCGTTTCCCCGCCGGTGACACAGCCAAGCTCGTGCCATCTCCACTGCAATCGATTCCCCCCTGTGCTCGCTCTCCTTCCGCACGCACTGGTCGCCGCTGATCCTGGTAAGCGCCTCTCCGTTTCACCTTTTTTTTATCAAGGGGGTAACCCTCTCCAGATAGTTCTTGGACTGGTATTGGTATGCATGCATGCTCGTAGCTACTCTCCGTAGATAGCAGCTTGTGTTGTGTATCATCGATCGGTGAGCTTACTATACCAGCTAACCGCGCGCCGGTTAACCATGGCGATGGCTTTTTCTTTGCCCGGTCGGTCTTTCAAAAAGGCTTTTTCTTTGCTCAACCATGGCGGGCGGCCTGCATAACTGCATAAGTTTGCGTGCGTCAACATCTGCCTGCCATATTCATGACCCTTCGGTTTCTTGTCGTCTCACCGACACGCACACGCAGATAGAGAGAGAAAGAGTAAAGAGTAGGCAGCATGGCGTATGCATGTAGGGCCTGGTTTAGATGGTAAGAAGGCAGCCATGGCGTATGCATGGAATATTAAATATAGATAAAAAAATGTAAGAGATGGCGCGGCGCATTATGCGCGTAAAAAGTAACGTGTACGTCCCAATCTAAAATGGCGCGGCGCAATGCGCGTAGTAACGTGTCAGTACGCGCAGGCAGCCAGCGGCAGGCAGGCGGCGAGCGGTTCTCGGCTGGCTCGCGTCCTTTCCGCACAGCTGGCTCCCGGGTGGCTACGACCACGGATATCGGCCTACGTCGGCGACCGGTTTTAATTAGACGTGCGATTAGTCTATCTGCTAACGCAATTTATTTTGGCCTCCTGCTGCCGATAATGGATGTGCTGCTAATGACGTCGCGACGAGGGTAGGACAGGACGATCGAGCGTATTCATGGCCTCCCACTTTGGTTTAAAGGCTGCTGGTGCTCTCGATTGATTAGGCATCAATCTAATGATTCGTTACAATCGTGGATTATAAGTCAAAAGTACTGCTGGCTGATTTGGTATGAGTGAAAAATACTATTCCAACTTATAATCAACGATCGTATAAGCCGAAACGAACAGGTTGTGAGTAGATTATCTTCATCGTACCGTATCGTGTACTGTACACAATATACAAACAACAGCACAGTGGACAATTTTGCCTGAAAGACTGAAACCCGTCAACTAGCTCCTAATGTCCTACAGGCATCTGGAGCTCTGAACTTACACGTTTCTAATGCTGATGGTGATGGATAAGTGTTGCCTTAGTTTATTTGCTCTGACCAATAATGCGTCTCCTGCAATTGTTTTAAGCTCAACTGAAAACGAAGACAACATGTTCGCTCGGTCGTATTTGACTTATAAACCATGGCTTATTAGCCAACGAATATTATTTTTCTTTCATATCAAATCAGTCAATAGTACTTTCAGCAATGGTTTATAAGCCAAACTAGCCAAAACGAACAGGACGATGGTCTCCAAACTCGCTAAGCTGTAACTTAAACTCTGCGGATCCCCGCAGTGCCTTGTCTTCTCCAGCGTGATCACTCCCAACCAATTTCTTTATGCTGGCAAACAGAACCTTCGGATAAGGTCCAAATGGCAGCATTGGATTTCGGAAGCAAACAAAATCTCCAATTAGAAGACGAGCAGTGTCTATTATATATAAATAAACTGGAGAAAGGTTGCTGGCCTTCATTGGATTTGGAGGTGAAAGAGGAGGGGCAGCGGTAGGACAGTTCTGATGCGCAGAATCTTGCAGCGTGGCTGCCACCCTGCACTCGCGTCCAAAGGTGAAGACAGAACAGGCTTTTCTAGTGAACTGAAAAAATTGCATACTGTTCGCTTCATCGTATCAGCCATATTTAAATTTAATATATATTTTTTCTCTCACAAAAAAAACAAATTAGCCGATTTATAAGTCTGCCAATGATCGCTCGCCAAAGGTGAAGATCCTTTTTCTTTTCTAGGCCTTGTTTAGATGAGGGTTGAGAAGGAAGTTCCTGAACAGAAAAGGTTTTTGTTTGTATTTGATAATTATTGTCTAATTATGGCCTAACTAGACTCAAAAGATTTATTTCGTAATTTACAATCAAACTATGTAATTAGTTATTTTTTATTTATATTTAATACTTTATGTATGTGTCCAAAGATTTAATGTGATGGAGAGAGAGTGAAAAAATTTGAAATCTAAATAAGACCCTAGTGAACTGAAAAAATTGCATACTGTTCGCAAATCCTTTTTCATTTCGTGCACTGTTGGGACTGATTTTCTAGAAGGAAGTTCCTGTACAGAAAAAGGTTCCTGAAGTTACTGAAACCCGACCTAGTCTTGTCATGTCGATCTTTTTAGTATTGTGTTAGTAACAGTACTAATTGCGTGTGTGGTTCACGTTAAAGTTTAGTCACCTAAATCAGGCTTCTAAAGTTTAGTCACCCTGTTTAATTTGACATACTAAAAGAGGCCTTTTAATTTTTTTTAATCAGGTAAGGTAGCCTAACTAAAAGGTGGGCTTGAGAGCATCTCTAGCAACTCCCCAATATCCCCCTATCCTCATAAAACTGTCACATTAGGATAGCTATGCTTTTTTTTCTCCAGCAGTTCTCAATACTTCTTATATTTTTGTGGCCATCAATATTTCTCTCATCTCCCTTTAAAGAAAGAGAAATACAACTCTCTCAATATTATGGGGACCATCCCAACTATCACTTTTTAACTATATTTTCTTTTCCACTCCTGTGGGACCTATCTTTTATATGGGTATGGGGGAGATATATTGAGATACTGTTGTAGCATCTCCCCCAATAAATCTAGAAAATGATGTTGGGCTATTTCAATACCGTCTTATTAGAAGAGTTGTATTGGAAGACTACTGAAGATGCTCTTAGCCCCATTAACTTTAAGCAATACTTAGGTGATTAGTTGACTAATTCATTTTTTAGTTTAATTTAATATAGTGTTTAATAAAAGTAACTAAATATGATTAAATTTAGGAGGCCAGAGGGTGAACCAAACTTCCTTTAGTTCTTTAGACTGTCACTAGCCCAAGACCGAGCTTTTGAATGGAGCGACAGTGATTTTCCATGAAACCGACATGTGAACCAACGGGCTACAGCTGTAAAAGTCAGCTTGTACCCTAGCAGACAGGAGCAACTGAGCGAGGAGCGTCACGTTCATTTGGGCTTTTTTTGGCTTGATAAGCTATACTAAAGAAATATCTTTATTGATTTGATATAAAAAAATATTGCTCGTTCAAAAATACGGATTATAAGAGGAAAAAAAAACCAAACGCACGGGGCGGAGGCTCGTCTCACTTACGCTTTCCTCCCGAATTTCAGCAGGAAAAACAGGGCGGGCAAGGAGCTAGTGTGAGCCGAGGGTGAAGAAGATGATGATGGCTGAGGTGGCCAACCACAGCAAAAGGAATCACACCGACAGCTACTTCAGTGGCAAAGCCGTCGCCGCAGCCGCCGCCAGCCCAGAGGAGTTCGGAAGCATGTCCTCGAAGAAGCCGAGGAATACCAGCCCAAGAATCGCGCCCGTATCACCAAAGGTTCGCATTGTATGATGTTAGTGTCGCACCTCTCGTACATCGGAGCTCCCATGGCTGTTTGGATGAAGTTTTCTTGCTGCGATCGAGCAGGAGAAGAAGGACAAGATCGGCGAGAGAGTCGCGGCGCTCCAGCAGCTAGTGTCACCGTTTGGAAAGGTACCAGTATTTTCGAAGTTTTCGCTGTATTCCTGCGGTCTTTGTCATCCGCGCAAGTGGGATTTCTTCTTGCAAGCGCTGCAATCACCTTTCCTTCTGGTTGCTGTTGCTGCAGACCGATACGGCTTCTGTCCTGCAGGAGGCATCGGGGTACATCAAGTTCCTGCACCAGCAACTCGAGGTCTTTATTTCAGTGACCGCAGATGGCACTATGATATTCAGCTTTCTGATCCTTCATTTCCGCTGAATGCAATGGAACCAATCTTTGCAGGTCCTGAGCTCCCCTTACATGCGTGCTCCTCCGGCTGCTGGCACTGTGCCTGAGGTGAGCTCTCGCCATCCCTCGTGTCCTCTGAATTCTGAATGCAATGTACAACATGCTAAGCTGAATTCTGTATGCAAACCTGTAGAACATGCTAAGCTACTTTCAGTGCTTTGGCCATATAAAGGGAAAATACAAGTTAGAATCCTGAACTTCATGCTCGAAAAAAGAATTCTGAACTTGACCGAATTTGAGGGAAACAAAACTCAAGTCGATACACCATTTCTTTATTATTTCGTGCAAGAAACCTAGCACGAGATCATATCATAACACGCGTGCATCCTGTTTGGCATGTGATCCAGGATCCCGAGCACTACAGCCTCCGGAACCGCGGGCTGTGCCTGGTGCCGGTGAACCTGACGCTGCAGCTGACCCAGAGCAATGGGGCCGACCTGTGGGCGCCGGCGAACACGACCAGGCGCAGGTGAGGAGAAGCCTGTCGGCCTCGGCCCTCGCCTCTCCAGGAGGGGAGCCGTACTGGGCCTGGTCTGCCCGGAGGAAACCGAGCAAATACTACTGCATCTGCATGTGCGCCGTGGAGTAGAATCTCCAAGCGCCTGACCCAATTCGATCTCCTAACAAGAAACTAAGCAAAGCGTCGTCCGTATCAGCCGCCTTGTATTATACTCTGTCTGGTCTCTCCTTGTCGCCGTATATGTGTGATCAGTTGATCACAAATGGAAATGGCCCTGAACCGCGTCTCTATGTGGTACTAGTACTATGTAACTATGTGTTTAGTGACATGTGAATTAGCAGTCTGTGGCTGTCAGCAAGTAAAGCGGCAGTTTAATGCCTGTTCCTTGATATGCCTAGTGTTATGTGTCTGCCGTATGCTCTCTCCCTCTCTCTCTCTCTTTCAGCTGTGCTGAACTGCTGAAACTGAAACTGCACATTCAGGCAAGGCAGAACCTAACTGTCGATGTGCTTGATCGTCTATGAAGTTATGACCGTGGAGATCTTTTCATGTTGAAAAATGGTGTTATACGTCTTGAATGTGAAGCTGTCCGGTGGTTGAGATTGAGACAAGCAAAAAATCCTGAATATACATATACTAGTAAGCAATATTGGGTCCTATTCGGCTGGCTGAAAAAACGGTTGATGCTGATTTGTTGTGAGAGAGAAAAACACCGTTATTTTGCTAAAAAGGTACGGCTGATAAGTTCAAGCGAACAGGGCCTTGGTTTCTAAATTCTGATAAAAACGGGTTCCGAAAGCGGAGCGCAGAGAGCCCAAACTGGAGTCAGAATGGTCATTCATGCATTTCTTCAGAGGATGAATCTTCGTTCGATGCTACTGCAAATTGAAGATCAAATCGTTCTTGACGCGTGTTTTTTCTTTTTTTTCGTGTGTTGCCTCTTGCCTCCGTCCTAAAAAGAATATCATTCTTGCTGTTCGAGAAGTCAATCAGTTTTAATTTTAACTAAATATGTAGAGAAATATTGATCTTTATGATACATGATCAATAGATGAATAATGAAATACATTTTATAATAAATCTATTCAGAGCATACAAATGTTTATACTGTTCTTTATAAATCTACTTTACTCCAAATCTAAGATAATATTGTTTGGAGGACATAAAACACTTGTTCTGACGGGCCTCACTCGCACAACGTTGAACCGAGAACCGAAGCCCACTACGATTGGGCTTTGCCATGAGCCCATGACAGCGTCTGCATTTGTACGTACAAAACTCGTTTGATTTCTCAGGCACTGATGAGTACTATAAAAGCTCTCCAGTCTGGTGTTAGATGCGAGGTTTAATCAAAAGAAAGGTACGTTTAATTTCTGTACCGATGCAACTGTGCTAGGACTGCGACCGGGCGGACCTAACTCTGGGGCCCCACGCGTTATGTGGGTTCGCCCTACATCTGCGGGACGAAGCAACGGCACAATTTTGTGGATTGGTTGATACTGTCGTCTGATTTGGGCCCCAACAGCGACTGTTTCGAGTCCAAAGAATCCAACTCATCATTCATCACGAATCAAAAATAATTAGTGCACTGTGCACCGGACGAACCGTGCCGCTGAAAGGAAAACAATACCCACACCTTTTTTCTCTCTCTCTCTATCTCTCCCTTTATTTTTTTTCGTCGAGGGTCTTTTCACCGGTTCTCGCTGGAGTAACGCATGTTATGATGGCAGATATTCAGGCCAGATTTCAAACAGCGATGTTCAGAAACCGTAAATGAAGCGCTAACGTGTCAAATTTAAGCGCTGGTGTAAAGGAGGAACAGAGATGGAGGATTAGCATATGGGGTTCCAAATTCTCGTCAAGCCCTAACCTGTTACGGCCTCTCCATACTCTAGATCTGGACGGACGCCAGTCGTCGCGGCGACAAGTGGACCCTCAAACAAACCTGAGGCGCAGGCGCCGCTACAGGATCCCCGAGGGGGTGTTTGGTTCCGCCTCTAAAACACTTTTATCGCTATCCCATCGGATATTAGACATATGTATGGAGTATTAAATATAGATTAATTATAAAACTAAATACATAGATTGAGATTAATTTGCGAGATGAATTTTTTAAGCCTAATTAGTCCATGATTTGACAATGTGGTGCTACAGTAAATGTGTGCTAATGACGGGTTAATTAGGCTTAATAAATTCGTCTCGCGGATTACTGACGGATTCTGTAATTTGTTTTTTTATTAGTATCCGAATACCTCATATGACACCCCACGTGACATCTGATGAGACACTTTTTAAACTTTAGTCCCTGCATCCAAACACCCCCGACCGTCCTCACCGGAGCTGCCTAGCCCATGCACCACTCTCAGTCCTCCGATTTAAACTTTGGAGTCCCATTTCCATCAAACACCCCGAACCGCACGGTTCCTCACCATGCTGGGCCTCGATTGGCCCGGGGGCCAGGATCAAATGCCTGGGAGGCAGCTGTTTGGGAGGCCGGGATACAGGCTACTGTGCACGCGAGCATACTTGCACGCTCCACTGCACAATATCACCGCACTGCGTCGTGGTTCCCAACTGCGAAGAATTTGACCCATAGGCCATAATAAAGAGTTCTCTTTTGTTTACTTCTGCATGCAACGCCGGAATTTTTCTTCCTCTGTTGCTAAGGCCTTTAGCGTTAGCGACATGCATCTCAAGCTGTCAGCTCTCTACCTCAAGGTGCCAAAATATCGTGGGACAAGGTATGGCTGAGATCGAAGCACTCTCCGCTTGGAACACACACTGTAGACAAGTGCGCTGGCCCGCGGCAGGTTCTGCCATTTTTTCTTTCTTTCGAAGCAAAGCAGATTCTGCCAAATGGAATGGCTATCCATCAGAAAATATCAGCGCTCCATGGCCACGTATATCCCCTAAGGCCCAAACGTTTCATGAGACACCTCCTGATTCCCGCCGTCAAGATCCTTTCTTTTGTCTCAGACGACTCTTCTAGTCTTGTTTGGATACATTACAGATTATAAAAGATATAAAAATTAGATTGTTAAAACCTGGATTATAGAAAATAGGTTGAGAGGTTGTTTTGGGGTCCATAGCCCTCTTTGGTATAGCTTCTCTGTGCTGATAAACTATATAAATAGACAAAATACACGCTCAGAATAAATTAGTCTAACCTAGTTTCTCCGTTTTAGTACAAACAAGGGTTGTGATAGCTTCTTGAGAAGCACTTCTCTAATAAGCTATATAAATGGAGAAAAAAACACAGTCTGTATAAGTTGGTTTGGCCCACGTACTTTCTACGTTGTAGTACAAATAGGGTTGTAGGGGGAAGTGCGGCTAGAAAAGCTACAGAAAAGTTTACAATTTGGTTTTTAGTGTCAGCTTATTTTAGCTACAAGCGGCTTACCATAAGTTAAGATAAATTGTTTTTAAAGTAATTACCAAAATACCCTAAGTATCTTGGTAATTAAAGCAGGGTGGATCAAAGCAGGGTGGATGAAGTGACGCCAAACATCTGGCATTCTCTGACAAGAGGTACCACAAAAGCTTAAAGACAAGTTTTATAGAATGATGATTAGACCCGCTATGTTGTATGGAGCAGAATGCTGGCCTACAAAAAGACGACATGTCCAATAACTAAGTGTCACGCAAATGCGGTTGTTGCGTTGGATTTGTGGTCACATGAGGATGGACCGAGCTCGGAACGATGATATACGTGATCGTCTAGGGTAGCATCAATTGAAGAAAAGCTTGTCCAACATCAGTTGAGGTGGTTTGGTCATGTCCAAAGAAGACCTTCAGAGGCACCAATGCATTGTGGAGTCCTATGTCGAGATATCAAAGTGAGGGGAGGTAGAAGAAAACCGAAGCTGACATGGGAGAGGCAATAAAAAAATATTTAAAGGGTTATGATATATAGAGATTTTTGTTTGGATAGAAGTGCTTAGAAAGCAGCTATTGATGTGCCTGAACCGTGACTAGGGGATCATGTTAGATTTCAACTCTATCCTACCCCAAGTTACTTGGGACTAAAAGGCCTGTTGTTGTTGTACCAAAATACCCTAAGTCTTATTTTTTATGAAGCACAAATATTGCCTTTGAAGTTTGAAGTCTAGTCGGAAGAAGCTAGGCTTGTCTAGTTTGATTAATAGATTTCACGACCTAGGCTTCTCTAGATTTCATAAGCTATGTACATTTGGAGCCCGGCCTAGATGGATTATGAAGCTAGCTTCCACAGTACCCTTAATATCCAAACATGGCTTTGGTGCCCCGGTCTGGCGGTCGGCATGCACATTGCATCCATGTGCATCATTATTTAGCATCGCGATCGTTTGCGTTCTTTGACACCAACATAACTCGGAGGTTTAGGCTACTGGACTAGCTACCAGTACTGCGCTCCAAACGCGTTGTCTATGGTTACAACGGATAGATACAGACCGAGCTTGGGCAAAGTTCTCGATCAAAGTAGACCCTGTGGTGCAAGATTTCTCCTGGGCATCTACCTTCACTGAGATAGGCGACGACTGCAAAACTTTGTTTTAGATGGACAAGTGGATTGATCAAAGCTCGGTCGTCGACATCGTCCCTACTCTCATCAATCGGTCACACAAGGCATCCAAGGGGGTATGTTGGGTAAGAGGAATCACATGACTATTAGTCCAGGCAATTGCAGAGTTTCTACACCTCTAGGACATACTACTATAATCTGTTAGTTTGATCTCCACCAATTGACTCAACGGTCAATTGGGCCCTTGGATCAACGCCCTGATCGGAGGCGTCCAACCACTCTATGGTTGGTGTGCCCCGTCGCACAGCACCATAAAAGGGAAGTTGGGGCCGGACACGAGGTACGAGGTTGACCTGAGCCGCCGCAACCCTCCTACAGAGAAACCTAACCCGATCTAGAGGGAGCGGTGCTGCCAACGACGGGAAGCCGCCACCGACTTCACCGTCGCCTCTGCATCGCCACCACTGCGCCGGACTTCACCACCCGCACTGCGTACCCGCTGCCGTGGCGGCTACTTCCTCCTCTACCTCCTCTGCCAAGGCCGAAGGTATGGTTCCCTAACTCTCTCTGTCTCCTTGTCCCAAGTTAACTGCTACTCGATTTGAATCAACCAGTAAGCAATTCACCCTCAGTACTACACCTGGATGAAACCTAAGAGTCCAACACAATCAGTCTATCTTCAGGCTATCACCGAAGATGTGATGGTATGGAAATGGACCGCGAACATAATGTACTTGGCAAGGTCGGCGTACTTTAACCTTCATCAGGGTGCAGAGTACTTTCATGTCTACAAGCTAATTTGGAAAACTCGGGTACCCCTCAAAGTAAAGATCTTCCTTTGGCTTGCATTTAGAAAAGCAAGGGCTAGGCATATACGGGAGTTGCACACCAGACACCACTTGCCTCTTCTATAATCAAGAGGCGCTAAAACAATGGATCACATCTTCATGCTATCCTCATTCAAAAAAGAGATTTGGGAGATCATCTTCGACAGACTACAAATTTAGGTCACTGCTCTAGACT